TGAAGGCACAGTGACTCTTCCTTGCCGCTGCGACCATTGCATCGGCTTCTACTAAGGGATAAATGGTCAGAAATTGAGTTGTGGCAATGATGGCATCATCCGCTTGAGAAGTAGGGAGGTGGGATCACAGCGGCAAGTGCCATTTTGTGGCTCTTTCAAGCTAGGTCGCGGGTATAAAAGTGGCATGCGTTGAGCTGCTTAACAGCGGTACTGGGCTTACCACAAGTATAGATAAAGGATCGAAGCTCACTGCCGGTGCTCGTATCAGCCTGAGAAGGGTTCCGATCGCATGATGGAAAGCTGAGCAGATCACCGTCTCAACCTGGAGTTGTCGTCGGAGTCGTCGACAGCACAGCGCGGAACAGCTCCCCGATGACACTCGTCAACGTCTCTCAGGTGATGTGTAGCCCCGTGGATGATGAACAGATGCTGTTTCTCTGGTGTTGCGATGGGGGCGTGTTGACACCCAGGGCAACAGCAACTCGCTCTCGAACGAGATTATATACAGCAGCTGGGGTTTTCTTCGAATCCATTCCGAATGGCTTCAACCTCATTGTCACAATATACATTTCATCAAGATCACTGACTCTGTATCATGGCGTCCGACGCTAGCGAAAACATCTTAACGCCTGCCGATGCACAGCCTGAAGATGACGATGAAGCCTTGGTGGTGGCGGCGGCAGATGATGTGCACCCTATGCCAGTGCCTGCACCTGTTCCACTGCCCTATGATCTGGTACCCTCATGGAAACGTGAATACGTGGTTCGCGAAGTGGTCGCAGGACTCGAGTCAGTATGGCGCACACTCGTCGAGCGATACGGGATGATTCTGGGATCCCCGAAAGCCTACAACACTCATTTCGAGGTCGACCTGAAGCGCATCATGGAAGCTGCTATGGTGCCGACAGGGTCCCTGAAGGAGACGGCAGATGCAACAGAAGCTGCGATGCTCGAGGCTTGGAGGGTCCGATGTCGTCGGGTCATTGCAGCGTTCAAGGCAGACATGCGACGCGATCCGGTCGACGAGGCCAAGCGAAAGGGAAAGGCAGTGAAGGCAAAAGTGATGGCAGAAACATTACGACCTGGCTTCGACGAGGCACATGCACCAGTTGACCCTATACCGGATGTCGCTTCTACTCCTCCCCCTCCCCCTTCTCCACCACCACCACCCTCCCCTACAGCTCATAATGAGGAGGCAACAGCTCAACTGGAGAGCCCAACAGTTGAAGCGCTCCGACCCAAGATTGCGGAACTCACGCTAGAGAACGTCGTCTCTCGTCGCCGAAACGCATCCCGAAGCCCGAGGAAACCAGCTCAGCCCAGAACACCCGAGAAGGCAACAGACCCGAGAACGCCCAAGAAACCAAGAGTTCTCAGAACACCAAGAACACAGCAGACGAGAGGGCTGGGGAAGGATGCTCCTTATACCCCGAAAAGGTTCACCTCACCTCAGAAGCGGGACGAATTGCGGAGGCGCCACCCGGTGTTGACTCAGTTGGAGGCCCATGGCAACTTACGGCCGCTTGACTTCTTGGAGCCTCCGAACACGAGCTATGCTGGACAGGATCCCTTTGTATCGCCGACCAAGTCGAGACTGCCATGCTAGATCAGGCTTGATGTGTGAGGGCCTCGATACGCTGATAGCAATGGTCAGGCGGAAAGCAGATTGGGGACAGTTGTGGCCGCCGTCGTGGCCTTAGGTCTCATGTGTGCTCATACGAAGGACGGCATGCGGTGTGATTTGGCCGCCCACTCTAGGAAGTGCCACCTTCAGGTGTTATATAGCAGTGTTTAGCAGTCACTATCTCACACAAGAGAGCACAGCCCTGAGACCCATACACAGACCTAGGTGATTCTGTACGACGTACAATGGAGGTCGATTTTCATTCAGCAGCTCCATTAGCCCACCCACCCTAGTGTAACTCCTCGGCACTGGTGATACATGCAAACAATGCTTCCCCTTCGCCTACAGCTCGTCATGTCCCTTCTCAGCACTCCCAGTTCCAGAGTTACTCCCAGGGTCACTGTAGTCTTCCCATTAGCCTATCGCGCCTTTGAAACACACCGTTACCACAGAGACTTACACGAACAAGCTCCCGTACCCCGTGCCCGCCCCGCGGAGCACTTTGGCCGTCGCGGCGACGCCCATCTCGCAGCCGAAGCCGAGCCACCGGTCCGGGAGGGCGGGGGCGGGCCTCTCGCGGATGACGCGCTGGATGCGGTCGGCGGAGGCGAGGAAGCGGTCGACGACGCCGTCGTAGCCGTGGAAGGTGAGCCGGCGGTCGCGCTTGCGGAACTGGCCGTCGACCAGCACGTGCTCGATGTCGCCGACGTTGGCGTGGAGGAGCACGGCGGCGACGGGGTCGGCCCAGCCCAGCAGGCCGGGGGCGCGGCCGTCGAAGACGACGAGGTCGGCCTTGGCGCCCTCGCGGATCACGCCCAGGTCCGGCCGCCGCAGGGCGCGCGCCCCCTGCCGCGTCGCCAGCAGGAAGGCCTGGTTGACGGACATGGGGTTGTTGCGCGGCACCTGCCAGCGCGCGATCACCTCGTCGAAGAGGCGCGAGCGCGTCCGCTGCAGCCACAGCCGCGCCTGCGTGAGCATGTCCGTCGAGAAGGTCAGGTGTGTGTCGACCCCCAGCGCCGCCTGGTCCTGCGCCTGGTGCGAATGGAAGTGCGAGTGCCCGTAGTGCATCTCCGACTCCGGCGTGATGCTGATGAACTGGTCGGTCGCCTGCAGCAGTTGGTAGGCGTCCGGTGTCAGCCCCGTCGCGTGCGAGAAGACGACCGCGGTGCTGGTGTTGAGAATGCCGAGCGAATGTAGGCGAGAGGGCGAGTTGTCGACTGCGAGGGGGGGACAAGTTAGTCGGGAACCTGCTTGCTGGGCGGTGTTACCAGAATGGAGTGGGAACGTACAATTCCAGACGCTTCCGAGCCAGTGTGTTGTGAGGACAGGCAATTGAAGTTCTCTGACTCCGTGTTAGCATTTCTGAACGAGCAAGCTGGGCGGAGACTGTCTTCTCACTTGATAAGGTCAACCACGGCTTGGATATCCTCAGCTGCTTCTACTCCCCAGCCATCAAACGCGGCTGTGATGGTAGTAAGGCCATTTGCTTTGTTCTTTGCAGAGAGAAGCTCCTTGAAGTCCAAGACCTGCTCGGGGATAGAATAGTCCCCAGCGGTTCCAAGAGAGGCAGCCCAGAATACCCGGGCACCGCTATCGATCGAACCATCCAGTCCAGCCGTCGTCGTATCCTTCGACCATATATGGTGAGCGTGATCGAGTGTCGTTGTAACCCCAGCATTCAGAGCTTCAAGCAAGCCTGTGAGTTGGCCGATATAAACATCCTCGGCTGTATATGTCGAAGCACCCCCTGGGCTGCCGTACTTGAAAAGGTAGTCCGACAAGGTGGTGTTGGAAGCCAGTGTCCTCATAGCAGTCTGCCAGCCATGACGGTGCGTATCGATGAACCCAGGCGTGATGATTTTGTGAGTACAATCGACGATCTCGGTGTCCGAGGGCAGGCTCGTAGGCTTCGCAGTCTCGTACAGCTTCGCAATCTTATCGTCAGTAACTAGCAATGCCCCATTACGTATAACCTTGAGAGATTCCGCATCTTCGTCAAAGGCTATGATGGTCCCTCCGGAAAGAAGTGTAGAGGCAGCCAGTGCGGTCTGGACGCCGCCAGCGAGCCCGATGATGCTAGATAGATGCATGGTCGCGGCGGGAATTCAATAGTGTCACCTTGATATCCTAGGATAAGACACCCGCTGCCTAGCTGCCCGCGAGTAAGCTGTTGGTACCCGTTCCTATATACCTAGGAAACCCAGCTCGAGCTCAAGCTCAAGCTACCTACCTACTCCGCATCACCCATGTCACCGCGTATCAGCACTAATCCTGAGGCTGAAGAGCTTGACATCGAGCCAACCACGACCAACTTCTTACGTCGATGCTGGTGACCCCTTCTTGCAGTTTGTCATCATATGTAATCACGGCCGGCGGTGGTGTCGCATCAGATGGGACGATGGCTTTCACAGCGGGCAGATCTCCCGCCGGTCTCGGACCTAAGAGTATGGCCGAGCTCACGATATCCGTGGTCATCATCAGCTAAGATGTGCTCAAGACGGCTATATAGTGCATCGAAGTTGCATCCTGCCACCTGAACACCACCTGCTATGGTCGCCACAGGTTCGGTGAGCTTGGCGAAAGGGAGCGGCAGCAATGGCGTCAGTCGCAGGAGGGCTTGGAAGGTCGCAGCAGTTCTCTCGGCATGCGTCCCGCGTTTGCATCGGCCTGCAGCGCGCTGCCCATTTAGACGGACTGTCAAGCTCCCGCAATCTAGCCTTGGCATTGCAGGTGCGGATCGCAGTCCGTCCTCCGCCTCGCCTGCGTGCACACCTAACTCCGAATGCTACGCTCACGACCTTCACGGGGCTTCCAGTCCGTCCGTCGATCCAGGAGCTTGCCGCAAGATGTTCGTGGAGGGTCTGGAGTATCTCGAACCAAACACATCGATTGGACATGGAGGCAAGGAGGCCGATGCCTACCTACTTTCGACTGATGCAACGGGGCTGGCTCCTGGACGTGGAATTCGGAATAGGTAAGCTGAGGTGAGCATCGGTCAAGGATGCTTGCCCCTCATGGTTTTCCCCCGCTCTCTTAGGAGACACAGGCTACCATTGCTTGTATATCAGTACCGGAAGCTTCCCATGGAGTTTTGGCAGAGGTATCGAGCAAGGCGAACGCCAGTGATGTTTGCCTTTTGTCGTGAAGGTATCCGTAGGAGGTCTGACGTTTCGACACAAAGCGAGCCACCAAACGAATTCGGGACAAATGATCTCTGCCCAAAGTTTGACAGAGCTTTGTGGATTGGACGAGGATGGACTTTCACTCCGCTTAGTCACTTGTGACTCTCTTGAACCAGCCTCTCCGGATCAAGCTAGTTACACATTTAATATAAGAGTGTTTAAGGAACACCACGTCATAAACAATTAGCTACGATGGGCAATTGGTCTAGGGGTATGATATCTGCTTCGCACTATTGCGGATCTGCAGAGGGTCCTGGGTTCAATTCCCAGATTGTCCAACTTTTGCTGCCAGCAATAATTCCTATCGTTTTGGAGGCATGTTACTTTTTCCTGCCCGTGTCGTCTTCGTGGTTCGTCAACAAGTCCCATGATCGTCTTCGATGGCGGCTTTCCAAGGGCCAATGCAAGTCCCGACCTTCACTTTTCTGGGGGGGGGGGAAATGAATTTCGAGATCGGGAAGCGGTTCATACCTAGGAGACGTGTCAGAGGGCACGAAGACGACTGGTTTGGACATATGAAATCAGTTGAATTTCTAGGAGTGCCGCTGAACCCTAATTATTGCCAATCAATGGTTTACGTGGAGTGCCTGTCCCCCTTCTCGAATCTAAGATGTTTTAATTCGTTCCCAGTCATAACGTCGTTCCAATCGTGTCCCAAAGTTTCAACTTCAGCCCTGCTGATCAACCAATGCGCAGCAGCGCATTTGCTTATAATTCTTTGAGCCTGTGGCGGTACTCCAAGCTTTTGAATATCTTCAATCCCAACACACTCGCCAGCATCACGGCTTGTAGAGCGAGGAGGCCGATCCAGAGCCCGTCCAGCATGTCGACTTCGTAGCCGCCAAGCAGCCCCTCCATGTTCGGGCGGGAGGTAGTGGTGATCTGCGCCATTGTGATTGATGGCTGGTTCTAGGATGAGGCTTTCAGGATGTTGAAAGTGTACCAAAATGCTCTGCAATGGCGTCTGCTTCCTCCAAGGTTAGTCGCGTTTACACTAGAATTACCCCGCGAAGGGAGGAGACAAGGAAAAAAAAAAGATTTCTTGATCAAAGAACGAGAAAGCGGTCAAACTCACGTTTATTTCCTCATCGAGGTACGTCCACGTCGGCCGTGGGTCCACCTAGTCTAGTCCTGGGGCCAATCCGGAGAGGCAAGCAACGAACACGCGAATTCAATTCACCAGAACGCAAATCACAGCGATCGCTGGTGCGAAGGCGAAAATGACAGGAAGCAACGCCAACAGAAAAGAAGGCAGTATGTGTTTACTGTTGGTCGGCAAAGAGGGCTGCCTCCTTGTTATATTGATCGCTAATCTGCTTGCTGGTGGGAAGATGGATTCGTTCGGTGTCAAGGATTCGGGCCACGTTGAGAATGACTGGGGGGCGACGGGGTACAAAGACGCAAAGACGTGCAGGTGTACGGGACGGAGTACGCTGGCCTGGTCCTTTTTCAACAGCGCTTGTCAGCAATGGCCAACAAACCCTCCTTGCCTAGGTAGCCTCCCGCCGGTGGTGTGTGCATGAACTGAAGGGGGATTAATGTATTTCATGATGATTACATGGGTAGGGGCACCTCGCTGGGGATGGTGCAGTGGCCACATGCCGTTGCGGCGTTGCCCCCTTCGAGATTACATGAGCCGCTGTCATGCCTTCGAGATTTTCGGCCCGGTATAAGGGACCCCTAGACGCTCTCGGCGTCTTTTGGTGCCAGGCCAGATCCGCGTCGATTTTACCCGGTTCTGGATCTGTATCGCCGGCGCCGGATCCGTTTCTTTCGCTTGCTTATTCTTCCTCGGCGGAAAAACAGGATGCTTTCTCTGTGACAGATCAGTGTCAAGATTACCTTCAGATCCCGGCGACGATCACCAAACCACAATGCGGGGGGAAGGGCTTTTATCTGACGCGGCCAGGTGGGTTACTCGTGAAGTCTCTCAAATGAAGCTGGTCCATAAGTGATGTGTTGCGTCGATCGATTAATAGATACAAGATTAAAGCAAGTATTCGTCAAGTCAGGAGTCGTGATGCGTTGCGACAAGGTGCTGCCCCCCGTCGCCCCTATGGTACATTTCATATAAACCAATACTCCGCGCCGTTGCAACGCCGCCTGCAAGAGAACGAAGTTTCTCAAGACCAGATCAAAACCCATTCTCGGGTAAGGTTATCATGATGACGGTTTGCCTTCCTGTTCAGCCTCGCGAACATCACCTCCCGAGGCCCTCCACCAAAGATCGCAGCCCCATCGCGTCGCCCGCTCCATAGCACCGGTTGGGGTAAAGGCTGGTCTGACATCCAGGTAGAAAACAGGCTCGCCGGTCGGCTCGGGGGGTCCCTCGTAGTAGTCGATGACATAGCGGACCTCTTTCTTCTGACCGTTGGTTTCACGCGAAACGTACCAGTCGTGTCGGTCAAAGGGTGGTTCGGTGCTGGTCGACTAGTCAGCATGACGCGGATGGAATGCAGAGTTGACACCTGAACTTACCCAAAAGCTTTGGGATACAGCCAGCCCATAACCTGCATCATGGCAGCTTTCGGCGTCATGTCCGTTGGGCGGCCCTGGAAACGCACCAGACTAGGGCTTAAGTCCTCCACCTCTTTCTCAAACCCATACTTCTTTACAGTCTCCTCGAAATTCTGCTCGCCGCGACTACACTTGCGGAAACCGTTTATAAGGCCACCAGCGAACCGCTTCTCCCAGTCCATGATCTCGGCCCACGCGCCCTCGTTCAGGAAATTGTGCACACTGACCATGCTCTCGACCGCGGTGACATCGGTATCGTCGTAGCCTTTACGCAACAGAGCATTGTACATTTGCTGGGGCGAAGGGTATTCCCAGTTGCCATCCCCGTCGCCTCTGGGGATGGTAGAGGGTTCACGAGATGTCGGGAGGGCGAAGGTCTGGTTCGGGGCTCGTTTTTGGGATAGGTCGCGGAACATGTAGTTCAGCGGATTCAACTTCGATAGGGTCGACTGCGACTCGGACTCTTCGGTGGCGGCTTTGCGAGCCTCGTGCGGAACAGGGCATCCTGAAGGTGAAGGCGTGGAGGGCGCATGTTTCACTGGACAACTCGAGGGCGGCGTGGAGGTTATGGCATCAGCGCTCTTCTGATGCTTGCGCATGGGGCAGCCAGGCTATACAATGTTAGTGGCACGTAGGCCATGATTCCATCCGGCTACATGGCTGGCATACTGGTGGTGATGCTGTTCCATCCTGAGAGATAGGAAAATTGCGATGCAACGCAGGCGGCGAAGGCACTTGGACACCAGGACCATCTGCCCAGAACCAACCCATGGTGACAATGGCCTTGAGAGGTGAGAGGAAACGTCGGATAGCGAGTCGAGTAACTACAGAGTTGAAAGAGGGGTCGCAAGTAGGGAACAGTAGATAGAGAGGTAGGCTTGATGCTATCGCAGGAGTTGGATTCTTTGCCTTAAGAATAAGGTAAGTAGAGATCGATAAGATGGCCTGCAAAGATCGCGAGCGGAATTTACGGTGGAGTGGGCTACCGGATGGAAGAGCCAGTGAGATAACCGCTAATCACAAGCAGAAGCTGTTCGCCGAAAGAGCCCCGAGCTGTCCAGTCTAACTTTCCGGGCCTTTAACACCGGGCGGTAAGGGCTCTGGGGCTTACCGGACAGCCGGCCCTGGCCGGGCTGCACAGCACACGTGCAGGGTGCTTTGACGGTGGCAGGTGCTCTACGTCACCATTTTGCGGTCGTGACCGACCGACCCCCTGCGGCAAACCGTTCCCTACAGTACACTGCTGGTTGGGTTGGAAGTCTAGCGGTGTCCTATTGCGATTGCGACACAGCTTGCCAACCACACAACCTTGTCCGCCGTGCAGCTCAGCAAATCCTCCAAGCCATGGCGAGGTGAAGCATGGAAACCATGAGCCAGCTACTCTGTCACTGATCCTGACCTTGTTCTCCTTCGAAATGCGCCCGCCTGTCTGCGGCGTCAGCAGCTTGCTCGGCCGCCTTTGCGCTCGTCGCGCCCTGTACCCAGCTCGGGAAGCTCCAGTACGCTTCACGCAATGCAGATGGCAGACGACTTCCCCCTTCCGATACTTCAACACCTCCAAGCGCCGATCGCATCGCTTCAAGGGCAAGATCCTGCATGCTGCAGCTGCAAATGGCGCCCTTGGAACTGCAGCCTTCATCAGCCTCTCGGAAAAGGACAATGGGGGTACGGAGCAGACAGCTGAGGGGCGCATGCTCGAGGCCTCTCGCGAAGAACTAGAGAAGAGCGTGGGAAGCAATGAGAGAGGCCTTCGAAGGCTGGTGCATGAGGTTTTGATATTCCTCGACCTGTACATATGGGAACCCCTCTGTACGGGTGTGCGCTTTTGCCATTTGGTTGTCATCTTCGTGCCAGTCATCCTGACTGTACCTGCGATATGGCTTGGTAATCGTCAGCCGGAGCGCGACAACGAGCGCTCTGGAACTCTTTGGTGGTACAACTTCCTAGTCTGGGCTATGGAGGCAGCAGGTCCAGCTTTCATCAAGGTAATAATAAGTCGAGAATGCCCTTATCTCGAGTCTCCGGGCTGACCCTCCAAACCACACAGCTAGGGCAGTGGGCAGCTTCGAGAACAGACATCTTCCCGAATGAAATGTGCGACATCATGGGCGAACTGCATTCTCACGCGCCCGCGCACTCACTTCACGCGACGAAACGGACCGTCGAGGCAGCCTTCGATGGGAGACGCTTCGAGGATATCTTCGAGGAATTCCAAGAGCAGCCGCTCGGGGTCGGAGCCATTGCCCAAGTTTACAAGGCCAAGTTGAGACCAAATCTTGCTGTTCCGGGCGATGTGGACGTGTCTGGGACTCCTAAAAACCTACGCCAGAACGTCCGTCGTAACGTTGACACCGTGCTCAAGAGTACACCGGAACGTGTACCATCGTCATACGTTGCAGTGAAGGTATTGCATCCCAGGGTCGAGCGAACGGTTCGTCGCGACCTCCGCATCATGGGCTTCTTCGCCTCGGCTCTGAACTGGATCCCCACGATCGAATGGCTATCTCTACCAGACGAGGTAACGCAGTTCGGGGAAATGATGAAGTTGCAACTGGATCTGCGGATCGAAGCCGCCAACCTCGCCAAATTTCGCAGGAACTTCAAAGACCGAACCACCGCTTGGTTCCCATTCCCATATCTCGAATTCACCACACGACAGGTGCTTGTTGAAGAGTTCGCACAAGGTATCCCATTAGAAGATTTCCTAGAGAACGGCGGCGGTGTCTTTCAGCGCGATATAGCTCAGGAGGGGTTGGATGCT